TTGACACAGCTGCGAGGGGTCCGGCTCATCAGTGGGTCCCCAAGCTTTCCCTGTCTGCTTTCTGGTTGATATACCGGTTTTTAAAGTTCGGCNNNNTAATCTCCTGAGAAATTAATTTCTGTTCAATTTATACTACTAAAGTCTGTCTGTCGGCAGCAAGTGCATATTTCGCAATGATTGAAGGGTTTCAGCCCAAATATACACTTAAAATTTCGGTCTACGGCTATAGTCCTTAAATACACTGATGTATACTGCGAACAGAAATTAATTTCTCAGGAGATTAAAAAGCTGACGAATAAAATTGTTCACAATAGTCGTCAAATACACAAAACAATGGCGATAAGGCATCAAGGCAGGAAGTATTTTCAGGCTGCGCGCGAGGGGTACAAAGGTAAACAGTGAGGTGGGTTGATAACAAGAAAGGCTCAATGAATTTTATCCTTTCGATGGGCAGCGCTGAGGTTACTGTCCGCTGATTTAAGACAACGCACAAAATGAGGCAGACTAAAATGGCCCCATAGTGGGCTCAGACAAAATAGTTAGCATTTGATTTTAACATAGTGTGGAATACTAAATTGCAAAGTACCTTGTCGTGAAATGAAGGAAACGTGACATGGAGGCTTTTTGTGGAAAGCGCAGTTTATGGTTACGATAATTAAACTGCATGTTGGACGAAAACTGTATCTACTGTCATCAAAAATCTACAAAATTGTTTTGCCATTTTTGTGGTACCGTTGGCAAATCCAATGCTTTTATCAAAAATGTGTATAACTGCGTTATATCTGTCTTAACTCGCAGATGAGTAAAAATGAAATGTTCAGTGGAACCGAAATATTGTAATACATAGAATATGCATAACATGTACACGTTGTACTTTGTGCACCAGGTAAGGTAATTCGGTGATGATAATACTTATTCTTGAAGCGTATCAAACGTTCTCATAAATACATACTGAGTGAACGCCGAACTATTCGCTCTCTGTAAACATCGATTTCTGGAAAAAATATACAGCAGATTCGTATTCTCGTGTAACCTTAATTCAAATTCAGAAAAGTGTTTCCGATTTTAAAAATCATTAAACCAGATTTCTAATATTAATAATTGTGCAGCCTAATCCTAGGTTATTTCAGTTAGTACAGAAAGTCGGTTTTTGAACAAACTTCTTTCCGGCAACCTGTAAGAGGAGTTCTTAAGTAATATATTATTCTCGCAATGATTTGCGCCGCCTTTAGAAATTCAAATAAACGTTGTAGGAAGCATGCATGAAATTGTTCTTTCTTGTATTCATTTCGTGACAAAGTATGTATCCTTCAAACGTTATGATCGAGGAAAGGATACCTTCGCAGCATTAAAAATATTTTTTTCTAATTATAAGCTTTCTAGGACCCTAAAACATCCACCCATTCAGCATAACATCGTTCCACCTTTTTACTGATGCAGTAAACAAAATGGTCAACATCCATTAAAATATTCACGGACATTATGCGACGTTTTCGTCACAGAGGAGAGGTAGGTGTAATTTTTTGAGGCAGAATATATACAGCAAGTACTTTGAAAAACATGAATGCATGCTTAAAAGCAGGTTGGATTTAAAAATTATTCGAAAATTTAAAACGTTTTCTAAAAACCGAGAGGAACTTTTTCCCAGAATATCATCCGAAGACTAATTTACTACTAAATGAGTGGAAGAATGTTTTTCGTGCGTGGTTTTCAATGAAGCATAGTTAAATGCTCGATTCTCTAGGCTGGCGGAATGTAGTTTTTTTCCAA